CCATTGAAGCAGTCAATTAGGACGCGTGCTGGTGAATTATTTTACAGTTGTTTAACCGATCGCACATTACCGCTATCTTCTCCCTCTCCACGCATACAAATCTATTATGCAAAGCGATTTGACGGCCAGCTGGAAGGTCCCCCCCCTCCGAACAAAAATCACCGATTACGAATTCCTCGGGGGCTCTCGGCGAGTCGAAAGGGTTTTCCATTCGGACAGTTAATGCATTGCATTTTCCGGGTCATTCGGGCATGACCAAATCGGGGACGCGCTGTGTGCGTGCGTGTGTGTGCGCACGCTCAGTCACTTCTAATCAGCGAATACTCGGTCAATCAGTTCTTACAATTATGGAACAACGAAGTATTTATTTATTCTGCAATAGTAATCAGTTTCTGTTTGTTCAAAAAAGATGTTTCTTTAATGTTATGATCTCATTAGTTCTCAATTACATACCGTGTGATTTAAATTAAGTGATCCCGGAGAATGTGTGTGTTGTGGTGGTTGGTTTAGTTTGGGACTAAATACTTTTTGTTTTATGGTAGCAAGATAATCACTGACCGGATGATTCAATTTGTGCGCAATTTGTGAGGCCCGTATGGGTGGTGGTGGCGCAGTAGTTTAGTCACTGTCCCCGGCGTGCTTTGGAACCTGTGGTTCGAGGTTCAAGCCCCGTCACCGCCAACCGACTTTGGTGACAGGCAGCTCTGCTGTCGTCTGGTTCAATACCATGCCCAGCCTATCGGGCCTCCAAGTCTCGAGACTTAAGTTGCCGGTTTCCACCACAGAACAGTAAGGCCTTGTGACTATGGGGTTCGTCCCGTCTGCTGTTCATTACACTCAGGTATGTAATTAAAAAATCCAAAGTCAAGGAATCCATTTTTTCAAACGATCTAATGAATCACTTGGAACACCATGCAATATTTTATCCCCGGTACAGCATGGATTGCATTGCAGGCGATCGTGTACCACCAGCCTCCCTTTGGCCCGAGAGGCATGAACAAAAGCAGCTGCTGATCACGGTGATGCAGTGGACGTCGTGTACCTCGAATTCTCCAAAGCATTCGACCGAGTGGACCAGAAAATACTGCTGAGGAAACTACACAACTATGGAATTTGGGGGTTTGTACTGGGTTGGATAAATGATTTTCTTCCACAACGCACCATGGAAGTTCGGATTTCTGTTTCACTTTCTAATCCTTGTGCTTGTTCTATGGATCTCAACTTTTTCCATGGTTTTCATGAACGACCTAACGGACATTTTGGGGCCACAAACGTCAATGCTTTCAGACGATGCGAAAACATGAGAGGCAGTGACAAAACCCGAGGGCTCGCTGGCACTTCAGAGAACACTTAATGTTACTTATCAATGGTCTATCGAAACAACATCGAATTCAATGCATCAAAATGTACGGTCGTCACAAAATACGATTTCCGTACCTCCTGCGATATCAACAACTTTCGCGTACCTCTAATGAGAATAATATTGGTGTCGCTGTTCTAGACGACTTAAGTTGTTATTTAGACTGCTTCAGGGCGTCCTTCACCGCTGAAAGACATGTTGGTTTGCTAAAGCGAGTATTTGGCAACCTAAATCTATGCCGTTCTCACGTTTGTTATCAACCTACATTCGACCCCAGATACAGTACACCATCCAAGCGTGAAATTCATAGCTGCAGCACGATCTTAAGAGTTTGTAACGTCCACAAAGGATGGATGGTCAGCAAGATGACCAAGGGACTATATTCCAAGACTTATGTGGGAAGACTGGAATCGTTGAAGCAGTCCTCCCCACCGTATCGCCGAATTTGATAGGACCTGATTTTGGTGTATCAAATAATTCAGAACCCTGATCACCCGTGTTACTCACTGTTCATCTTG